TTTGGGGGGCTGAGGGCTCATCCCAGGGATTTGGGGGCACTGAGGGCTCATCCCAGGGATTTGGGGGGGCTGAGGGTTCATCCAGTGTTTCAGGAGGGGGCTGAGGGCTCATCCCTGGGATTTGGGAGGCTCATCCCAGCACTTCTGGGGGCTCACCCCAGGCTTTGGGGGGCTGAGGGCTCATCCCAGGACTTTGGGGGACTCATCCCAGAACTTTGAGGAGCTCATCCCAGAACTCTGAGGAGCTCATCCCGGTGTTTTGGAGGGACCGAGGGATCATCCTGGCATTTTGGGGGAGCTTTGTGGAGCTGAGGGGGCTTTGGGGAGCTCATCCCAGGGCTTTGGGGGACTCATCCCAATGTTTTGTGGGGCCAAGGGCTCATCCCAGTGTTTGGGGGGCTCATCCTGGGACTCTGGGGGGGCCAAGGGCTCATCCCGGGGCTTTGAGGGGCCGAGGGCTCATCCCTTGTTTTTTTGGGAAGGGGGGAGGACTCATTCCTGGGATCTGGGGAGGCTGAGGGGCCCATCCTGGTGTTTCAGGGGGCTGAGGGCTCATCCTGAGACTTTAACGGGCTCATCCTTGGGATTTGGGGGGCTCATCCCTGGGATTTGGGGAGCTCATCCTGGGACTTCAACGGGCTTGTCCCGGGCTTTGTGGGTCTGAGGCTCATCCCGGTGTTTGGAGGGACTCATCCCAGGACTTCAGGGGGCTCATCTCTGGGGTTTGGGGGGGGCTCATCCTGGGACTGAGGGGCTCATCCCTGGGATTTGGGGGGGCTCATCCCAGCACTTTAGGGGGCTCATCCCGGGACTTTAGTGGGCTCATCCCAGGCTTTGTGGGGCTGAGGCTCATCATGGTGTTTGGAGGGGCTCATCCCTGGGATTTGGGGGGCTCATCCCAGGCTTTGTGGGGCTGAGGCTCATCCCGGTGTTTGGAGGGGCTCAGAGCCCATCCCAACGCTCCAGCCAAGCCCTCCCATCCCCGCATCTCTCGGGGGATCCCCGGATCGTTCCAGGGGGTGGGATCCATCCCCTCCCTCCCCGTGGAGTGGGATCCATCCCATCCCTCCCCAGCTGATCCCGGCATTGCTCGGATTGTTCCGGGGGGTGGGATCCATCCCCTCCCTCCCCGGCTGATCCCGGCATTCCTTGGATCATTCCATGGGCTGGGATCCATCCCCTCCCTCCCCAGCTGATCCCATTCCATGGGGTGGGATCCATCCCCTCCCTCCCCGGCTGATCCCATTCCATGGGCTGGGATCCATCCCGTCCCTCCCCGGCTGATCCCGGCATTCCTCGGATCATTCCGTGGGCTGGGATCCATCCCCTCCCTCCCCGGCTGATCCCATTCCATGGGCTGGGATCCATCCCGTCCCTCCCCGGCTGATCCCGGCACTCCTCAGATCGTTCCGTGGGCTGGGATCCATCCCCTCCCTCCCCGGCTGATCCCGGCGTTCCCGCAGCCTCCCGGGCCGACCCGGTGCGCGACATCCGCTGCGAGTTCTGCGGGGAGTTCTTCGAGAACCGCAAGGGGCTGTCGAGCCACGCGCGCTCCCACCTGCGCCAGATGGGGGTCACCGAGTGGTCGGTCAACGGCTCCCCCATCGACACCCTCCGGGAGATCCTCAGGAAGAAATCCAAGCCCTGCCTCATCAAGAAGGAGCCGCT